CTAGTTAGCTCACTCAACTGAACATCATTGGATGGACGTGCAAAGTAGGGCAAACAACACAACTAGTTTTGGTGGTTTTGTGTTGCAGTTCTGCATTTTAGTAGCCCTTCATTGTGTTAACAGGTCCTCATAAATACAGTAAATAATCACTTGGTAGCAAAGTATCAAATATATACTTAAGTATGCTTATCAGGAAAGTGACAAAACTACCACTGGTAGAGTGTTTTAAGCTTTACAGAATGCTTGTACGTACACTGCTTATTTGCATTTTACTCAACCCTAGGGGAGGGCAGGCATCTTTACTGACATTTTACAGAGGTCGAACCGAGAAAGGTCTGAGAGGGGAGAAAGTCAACTATGAGAACTCAAACTCTACTACTACTAACTTGCTTCCCTGGATAACTCACTTTACTGTTCTGGGTCTCACTAAGGTCAGGTTTAAAAGCTTTTGGGGAAAAACAAAAAATCTACCTCCTGCGATTATGATGAGGATTAAATGAGTTAAATACTTATAAAAGAACCCTGGGCAGAATAGAGCAATATTCAAGAATTATCATCTCAAAATAAACTGTTCACAAAAGTCTCACCGAATTACAGATTATAAAATAATATTGTTTGGAAATAATGGTTTGAAATTTTCAAGAATATTCAGAAGGCATTCTGAATGCTTTAAGTATATAAACAAAAATTTTAAAAGTTTCCAGGATAAATATATAAAATTAAGTGTTTGAGGGAACAGCAAAGTTTCATCTACCTGGAAATCACTTATGTGTAAAACCAGTTTCTCAAGGATGCTGGAAAAATGAGGTGTTTTCTTTAGTAGAGTGCAAGGTGCCACAGCATGCTTGTGAGCACACAGACACTGGTGAGCACAGCAGGTCACACTCAACAAAAATTCTCTACAGTTACAATATGTGAGAAAATAACAGTCTGTCTTCTTCGGAGAAGAATCCATTTCTAATAATGCCAAAGCAAGGGGATAAATAATAGTTCAGTTTTACCTTTAAGAAATACGAAGGAAGAATGAATCACTAAAACTTCATGGAGTTTTGTGGTGATAAGAACCTTTCCTAGGGTCCTGATGGCAAGAGATACCAGCATTTACAAAAGGTTATTATAATCTACGTTCAGGTTGCATTTTATTGCATTTAATTCCATAACTATTTTATTGACATACAACTGAACCTTCAAACTTGTCAGGCTGGTCTCATGTTTTTTGACTTTACATCAACATTTCCTGTTAGTACCCTACACATATCCTAGACTTTAGGTAAAACAGACGTTCTTATTCCCCAAATTGTTCTCACTATCCCACATTTGCTCTTACTCCTGCCTTTCTCTCTGAATTCTATACCAAACCCATGACAGATTCTATCAACTTCATAAAGCCTCTGCTGAAATATCCCCACTAACACCCACCCCAGCTCAAGCAGTTTTCTCACAGACTCGTGACATCTTACTGTTACCATTTTTACCATGATTACTCAAACTCCGTATCTGGCAGGCATCTAAGTGAGCAGCGCATAATAAATAGTAAGAGTGCTAGAATCAAACAGGCAACAATATCCCAGCTCCACAATGTGTGACTGGTCAAGATACTAACTCCAACGAGTGTTAGGGCCCTGCTCTGAAGAAGAAGAATGATCACAACAGACTTTACGCATTTGTGCTTATGCAAAACATCGATCTTAGAATGAAGTAACCAATCACTAAATGTATCCATTCTACCTTTTGCCTCTGATCCTGACAGATCAGACAAAAAAGAAAGGAAGAGGTATTATAAACTCATTCAAAATTGTTTTTAACTGGGGGATCCCTGGGTGGCGCAGCGGTTTGGCGCCTGCCTTTGGCCCAGGGTGCGATCCTGGAGACCCGGGATCGAATCCCACGTCGGGCTCCCGGTGCATGGAGCCTGCTTCTCCCTCTGCCTGTGTCTCTGCCTCTCTCTCTCTCTCTCTCTCTCTCTCTGTGACTATCATAAATAAAATAAAAAAAAAATTGTTTTTAACTTTCCAGATCCTCCTCTCTTCTTTGCACTTAAGTCTGCTCTTCCTAAAGGTCTAGACAGGTGATCTTCTAAACTGATTGTAAATTAATTCATACGGTCATTAGTTTAAGGGACCAGCGGAAGGTTCTAGCAATAACCTAAGCAAAAATGTGGGCTTGTATTCCTGAATCTGTTAAGAGTATGGCCATACGATGTTAAAGAGAAAAGTAAGATTGCTTCTGCGCCTCCTAACCAGCAGTCACACAGTTCGAACCTGGGAACATCCACAACACTGCATTGTCCCGTACATTGCTGAATTTCAGAAAATGACGCAGGCTATATCCTTAGATGGTATTTTTATAATTACTTATAACCAGTTATTGCTCTAATGAGATTAATCAGACAGCATGAAACCCTCATTCAACAACCCCCCCCTTTTTTTTCCAACAATGCAAATTAGTACTGGGCAATAATTCAAGAAACTGAAAACAAATCCCAGAATGACTGTTTCCTCTCACCAGATGCACTACAAGATAATCAGGAGCAAGAAAAGCATCAGAAAAAGTTTTAACAGGTGAAAAAAATAAACCCTCCCAAGTTGTAGGACTTATTACTCATTTCTGCTTTAAAAATCTTTTTAAGTATTTATATCCATACAAAAACTACCCTGAAAGAGTATGTCTTGTTCCTATAGAGAATCCCATTAAAATCTGTGTTTAAATGAAAATATTACACATAGAAAAGTTTTAAAAATGACTGCCTGGGTGAAAGGACCTTGAGGAGCTGAGACCAAATTCATCACTAGCAACCACCACAGACTAGGTATACTGAAGGCCCTCCGAGTAAGTTTCTGTTGTGGAAACTGAGGTTGCAATGAAGTCTGCAGTATCAACACAAAGAGCACCAGCACAATTGCCTGCACTTTAATGTAATTTCGAAACCAAGTAGTAAATACATTGAAACAAGTCAGGATCACTTATGACTAAAATCAACTATATAGTGACTGTGAAAGTAGCTGAACCTTACACACTTCACACTAGAACTGAGACAGCATTTCCTAAGAGCCAACTGTAAACAAGGCAGGTTGCAAGGTTAAAGATCTGCCTTGGTGAGTAGCAGATTGCAGGAGGCCACCTTAACAGATTTCATGAGGGCGCCACAATGGCAAATATTGTGAACGTAATTAAGTAATTAGTAAGACATTTCCTGTATGAACATATTACTTCCTCCTCTTAAAAGTGGCCACCTATTGGGTTTGTAAATTAGCAGTATTTAAGAAAAGGCAAACAAAGTACTTGGGACAGGCTGCATGTTATAAAAAAACAGCAATCCAAAACCAAACTCAAGTGTTTAATTATAAGAAGCTAATGTGGTTCCGTATGAGGTTTCAGATAATTGTTTATTTTGCCATATAAGTGTAGAACTATAAAAAAAAATCTAAGGCTATTTAATGGGAAAATGCTGTTAATTACTGTTATGCTAGTAAAGTTTACTGAAACATTTAAAATCATGTAGGTTACTGGAACTGATTTTAAATTTTCCAAATGCGCTACATAGCCAAAATCATGTCTTTAACAATAGCCAACTCACAAAGTTTTACATGATCATTAATTACATAACATTTATGCCAATCATATATTCTGGATTCAAATATCCTTTAAGATTGCATAAGAAATTTTTATGTTACATGTTAGCTTGTTAAACAACTCAGTAAAACCACAGCAATTCAAAGAATTATTTTTCCACATACTGAGATGTCTAATAAAATGTGTCACTTGAAACTCTCTATTTTTGTCCCCTGCTGGTTCGTTCATCTTTTCATAGAATTTAACCAAATGTTTGGGTGGCAGGGGTTTTCATGAATTGAGATTGTTCACAAGTTAGGATGCTGAAGGAGTAATGTGAGAATTATTCAAGTTTAACCACAATGCTATATCTTTGCTTTTCCTTCACTTGCTAATAAATCCATTACACAATACATTTTAAAGGTTTATTTATTTACTTATTTATTCATGAAAGACAGAGAGAGGCAGAGACATAAGCAGAGGGAGAAGCAAGCTCCTGGTTGGGGAGCCCAATGTGGGACTGGATACCAGGATTCCAGGATCACGACCTGAGCTGAAGGCAGATGTTCAACCACTGAGCTGCCCAGGTGCTCCTACACAATACATTTTAGAAGCATAATGAACTCACATTAATTTCAGAGTAATTTAAAAATGGACTGGTATATAGTTTTTGAAGGAATTCAGTCACTGGTATCAGAATAGATGCATGTCCCACCTTTCTGAATAGTCTTCCTGTATGGAAATACTTCTGCCTAAACTATTTATATGTATGCACTTAATCACAGTACATGTTTTGCTGCCATTCATTCCTTCACTAGTTTTAAATATTCAGGCTGTACTACCTATAGAATAAAAATAAATCAAAGCACATCTCTTAATAACTACTTATTACAAAAGAAAAAAAAATGTTAGAACTGGAAGGGATAGAAGTTTTTGCCCAATTTCCTTATTCTAATATCAAAACAAAACAAAACAAAAAAATAGACTGAAACCCAGAGACTGACTCAGATACTATCACAAGGTTATTTAGCGTTAGAACTAGATCAAGACTCTTTCCCATGCCACAACTAGAGTAACCTAAGATTGTTATCTTTACCATGGGCATTCTCTGACAGGAAAAGCTGGGTTCCTGGAAAAAAAAAATTTAAAAAAAAAAACCATTCATAATAAATAAATTACCATTCATAAAAATCAACCCCTGACGTCAATCTGTGGAAGCATACACAATGAGAAAACTTGGCAATGGATTACTCTCAGCATCTCCACCAGCATTTGTAAGGTGGACTTGTTATTTAGGGATAGAAACAAAGCTCTTATGTTTACACATAACACCTGATTCAGGATTCCGCTTTGTGCTGCTAGACCTTCAACAGGTACTCCATATATGAAGGCTGGGATATGGGATTGATTGCTCACAGCCACCATAAAACCTTGTCATCGTAACCTACCTCCTTGGCCATGTCTGTATATTTCTGCTTTTCCTTTGGATCTAGAACAGCCCACCAATCAGCCAGTATCTTGGTAGCACCTCGGTTATCAAGCCTGGGGTGTTCCTGACGTACAAGAGAGCGATGACGTTTGCAAAATAAGAGAAATGCATTCATTGGTCTCCGGGCTCGTTGCTCTGGTGATTCATCATCAGTCTCACCAACATCTTGCTCTAGGCCATCGGCCCCAAGAAGTTGAACCTATTACCAACCCAAAAAAAAGCCAGATGTTTAACACATCCTGGTCAGTTTTGCTTTTAAGTTAGTTTTGGTTCTCAAATTGTATTTTTTCTTAGCTTCATTTAAACAACTCACAAAGTAGAAAAAAAATTAATCATCAACCACTATTAGTGGTTGGTAACCAACTTGCTTAGTTGCTTATTCTGCTTAGTTTCTATAGCAACCTATGCATATCTCTAATACAGCATATATTATCGTGTTATGATTGCTTACATTTTTCCCCTACTAAACAGTGAGCTCTTTGAGGACAAAAGCTCTTTTACTTTTACAACCACAGCATCTAGCTCAATGTCTGGTATATAACATCAGTACTTAACTAACTCCTCAGTAAATAAATAAATCTACTCAGTGACATACGGGTCTCCAAGGTTAACAACATTCACAAAAAAATCCTTGAATATTAGGTGTTTCTCCTCTTTGGAAAGTCCTTTTCTATAGTTAATATGAAAATGTATAACAAAATAATAGGTAATAAAAATTTAATATAGTCTATTCAGTGTTTTATGCACAAGGGGAGCCTCCCACTGTAAAAATCAAAATAGACCCTTAGTAGTCATTTGAAGAAACTATATAATAAATTGTCAACTTTGTAAATATCAACTTCTCTTATTTTTTTAAATTATTTTTTAAAGATTTTATTTATTCATGAGAGACACACAGAGAAGCAGAGACACAGGCAGAGGGAGAAGCAGGCTCCCTCTGAGGAGCCTGATGCAGGTTTCGTTCACAGGACTCCAGGATCATGATCTGAGCCAAAGGTAGACGCTTAACCACTGAGCAATCCAGGTGCCCAACCTTTCTTGTTTAGTGAAATGCTATGATAATACGAATAAATTCAACTAGGCTTAAACCTTCAAATTCAATTCCGAATCCTCCCTTTCCTAAGCATTTCATTCAATTAGAGGTCTTTGAGGACTTCTACAAAGCTCTGGTCCTGCCCATTCCATATGTGTAATTATTTCCAATGCTCTAGCCTAGTCTTTCTGCGTCTAATCTCTTACATTACTTCCTGCACATGGCTGCTGATACTTCTTGATCACAGAATCTCAGAGTATATTCAAATTGTTAAATATGATCCTATGCTATTTCTTGGAAAAAGTGCAACCATGAACAGAAGTCCAGAAGGCTGACTAAAACTATCTCTTTAATTTGTTTCATAGCTAAAATCAAGAAGGACTGAGGTAGTTGTTAGTCTGCATCATACAATAGAGCATTAGTTCTTCAACTTGAGTGGGCAGTGGAATCCCTGGAGGTCTTGTTAAAACAGAGATCGTTAGGTCCCATTCCCAGAGTTTGCAATGCGGTATATCTGCTGGAGTGGGCCTTAAGAATTTCTTTCTTTTCTTTTTTTTTTTTTTTTGGTCAGACTCTTCCAGAGACTTTTCTTTTTCTTTAAAGATTTTTATTTATTCATGAAAGACAGGCGAGAAAGAGAGAGGCAGAGACACAGGCAGAGGGAGAAGCAGGGAGCCTGACATGGGACTCGATCCCGGGTCTCCAGGATCATGCCCTGGGCTAAAAGCGGTGCTAAACTGCTGAGCCATCCAGGCTGCCCAGAATCTCTATTTCTAACAAGTTCCCAGGTGCTGCTGGTCTGAAGATCACATTCTGAGAACCACTACTGTAAGGCAACCATGTTCTTTTGTTTATTGGGAAACTGCTACAGATACTCTAGGACAAATCACTAGCTTAATCCAATTTGTATTTTTAAAAAGCTGTTAAAAGTTTAAATTAAGTATTGCAGATGCATTTAGTTAACCATCAATTATCTTCAAACAACACAGTACAGTGGAACAATCTTAAAGTCATAGCTATATGATTTAGAAATACCCTAGAGATTATTATTGGGAGTGAAGGCTACAGATTTAGTCTCCTCATTATGTATACAATCATTAACAATGATGTGCATTTTTAAGGAATATTTATTTAGCGTTTTGAATGCTAAATAATAAAGAATATTTATTTAGCATTCCGAACCTAAGTAGCTATAGAAAAATCAAGGCATAAAAAGTATATTATGTAGTTTGAGGAAGTAATTATATTTTCCCTTCAGAGAATAACTCTTGATTCAGTTACTAAATTATAAAATTCAAGCCAAGAGCTGGAAAAAAAGATAAATAAGACAAGATCCTGGACCAAGAAGCTTACTGTTTGGGGAGGGAAGAAAGACAAAAGTTAATGAATTAAACAGCAGTATGATCATATTAAAAGGAACCAGTGTGATAATGAAGCTCTAGCGGATGGATGGAAACACACTGAAGTCTCCCTAGAAAATGTGTTGTCTGACCTAAATTCTAAAAGATGACTCAGAATGTGTCAGGTGGTCAATGGGGAGACATAGAAAACTAAAAAGGATTGAAGCTCTATGACCACTGATTGATATATACTTCAAGAGCGCTGATATATACAAGTTTAGACCAGGGACCCAGGACATGAGGTTGTAGACATAGCTATGGACATACTTCATGAGGAATGTGCCGTGTCTTATTAAAAAAAAAAAACAAAAACAACAGGCATTTAATCCTATGAGTAGTTTCAGATTGTGTAAAAAACAAACAAAAAAACAAATCTTTGAGGGGACCAATATAGGTTATCATATTTTTACCCAGATTATTTATTTGCCAAATATGGACATCAAAAAAATGTTTTCAACTACTATTTAATGTTACAATCATTTCATTAAATTAACCAAGTGAATAAACAAACGAGTAAATAAAATTATAAAGAAGTGAAAAACTCGATGAAGACTTCAATTTTTCTTTCACCAGGGGCCAAGTAATACCTTGTCACAAATTAACACTAGTATCAGACTAGGGTATAGAAACCACAGCCGGATGGTGAACCCATGAGTGGTTTTAAGCATAGGAAAGACATCACTAGACCTGTATTTTAAGATAACTCCTGTCAGCAGTGTTGAGCATGAATTATAATAGCAAAACTATTAGCAACCCAAACTAGAGGAACCATTGAAGACTGTTCCAGGTGTCCAGGTAAGAACGGAGAAGGCTGAACCAAGGCCGTAATGAGAAGGGAAAAGTTATGAGAGAGACAATATTTATTTATGAGGGAGAACCAAGAGAGCTGCTATTCAATTGGATTTTATGGTTAAAAAAGGAAGAGTGTTGAGGCACCTGGGTGGTGCAGTCAGTTGAGCACCTGACTTCTGGTTTTGGCTGAGGTAGTGATCTCAGGGTCGTGGGATAGAGTCCCATGGGGTCGGGCTCCGTGCTCAGTGTAGAGTCTGATTAAGACTCTCTCTCCCTCTCCCTCTGCCCTTCTCTCTCTAAAGTAAGTAAATAAATCTTTTTTTCTTTTTTTTTTAAAGGAAGGGTGTTTCTAGCTTCAGCGGCAGGGTTTCTTTGTATACAACAGAAAATGCTTTTTCTCAGATGAGAGAAATTAGACTGGGTGGGGAGCAGAAAGATCAGTATCAGGTAGGCTAAACTTGAGGTGGTTCTTAGCAGTGATGTTTTGGCTGTGATAATCATGAACGGAGCCATGAGTACAAAGGCGGCCAGGCTAGGAAAGTGGAGGAGATCACCAAGTGTGGACTGAAGAGAGGAGGGAGTTCCATCACTTCATTCTTTCACTCCAACAGCTGTGGACTGGGCAGCTGACAGGGACCAGGCGGTGCCCCGAGTGCGAATTCCCCACCCTCATGAAGCGGAAGGGCAGCACAGCCTCTATACAAATAAATTTGAAAGGATGCCTCTGGCTGCTCTGTTGGGAACAGATTTTGGAAAGGCCAAGGGGAGAGACAGAACATGCTAGAATGTGCACTAGAAGGGGTGGAGGCGTGGGTCAGCTGAAGGCTGTGGGGACCTCGTGAGGGAGGAGTCAAGCTGAGAACACCTGGAGAAGGGGCAGCTGAGAATCTGCTGATGGATGGGTAGGAGACGCGAGCAAAAGAAAACAGACAAGGCCTCTGGTCTTATCCACCTGCGAGCTGGGGATTCCCCCCTATGAGGAAGGGGGATGCCAGACAATGGGGTTCAAAGCTTCACTCAGAACACATTCAAACCGAGGTTCTGATCTGAGATCTACGTGGGTATGTCCAGTAAATAGACAAAATTGAGAGTGCAGAGTTTAGAGAAAGGTCCAGGACGGAGAGAGAAATTAAGAAGCCCAGGGAATACCAATACTTGAGGGCAGAATAGGGGGGCAGCAACTGAAAGAAGCTAGGAAGGTGCAGCTGGGAGAGAAACAAATCCTGGAACAGACACAGGGGAGCAGGAGACCACTTCAGAGACCACAGGACCGGCAGGTGCAAATGTGCCAGGAAGATCAATTCAGGATAAACTTGGCAGATTCTTCAAACAGAATTAATAACACTGGTTTCTCTGAAAAAGGAGAGGAGGAAGTAAAGATGGGGAAGGAGTGAAATAAGTGTACAGGTGAATAGAGGAGGCTGATGGGAGTCACTCTGGTGGCCTCTGTTTTCTCTGTAAAAGAGGAGAAAAAGGTCAACAGTGAGAGAGACCGTAAAGGGTAAGACATCTGAGAAACAGGAAAAAGAGAAAAAAATGGTTTCTTAGAGGCTGATCAAAGCCTCAAACAAAAGACAGAATGGATATCCAAGGTCTGAAGAACACTAAAAACATGTTTATAAAAATTGTAGTGACACAGAGTATGTACTCATTGATTCTTCCAGTATGTATTCAATACTGGCTACATGCACCACTCCAGATTCCAAGGAACAAGAGGAAGACATGATGGGCAAGAGTTTGCTCTTACTGAGCTCATATCTAGTCTGGCAAGACAGACATACACAAGTAGACAGCCAAACACAAGTTAAATGGTAAATGCCAGGAAAGAAATCCTTGGACATGGAACGTGTTGGCTGGGAGGGACACCTGTGACGATGAGATCCCACCTTTTGGGAAGGTAGCCTTTGTCCTGAGAGCTGAATGAGGAGGAGGAGGAGGAACCCGTTATGCCAAGACTCTGAGGAATGTGTGACTTTCTAAATAAAAGCTGGCTGCTCAAGCGTGACACAAAAAAAGGGGACATGGAGGACCGAATGACCAAGGAGGCTTGCTGGGGGTGCCAACTGCCAGATGCCATGAAGGTGGCGGAGATGAGGCCCTGAGATGCTCTGAGGCTGCCTACAGAGGCAGAGCTAGGCTGAAGCTGGGGAGAGAGGCCCCAGGGGCAACAGAGTGGATGCCAGGTGAGCACAACAGATTTTATTAATCCCCCATCATCTCCACTGCATTTGAGTATGACACTACCTGAAAATCATCAGTTAATTGACAGAGACACTATCTAAGAAGGGTCTGTTTCTGTCTCAGCTATTAGGAAGTACAGAGACTTCAGGAGTCATCAATATCTGGAATAACAGGGTAAACTGAGCAGTTAAATAGGATGCAAGTTATGCCCACTTGTAGAAATGCATCTTTCTCCCCATATGGGACGACTGTCCTTTCTCAAAACTCAGAACTTCTCTATTAAACAGAGGCGTTACCTTATCAATATCTTCCTCTTCGTCTTCCTCTTCCTCCTCTTCTGAAAAGTCCAGCAGTTTCTTTGCTAGCAGTGGGTGCCACTGAAGACACTTTCGTTTTGGTCGCTTTCCAGCCCTTTCTCCTTCTGTTGAATGATCTTTATTTCTATTACTGCCTTTCATTACTGTGACCTGTGGTAAAGGAAAAGGGGGAGAGAAACAGAGAAATCAAAGTACATTTGATTAAAAATTGTTTATTTAGCTTCCTTAGCCTTAATTGGATTATAGTTTTAATGACTAAAGTATCTATCAGCTCAGGCATTTACTGGATTCAGTATGCATTCTAAGTACATCATCAAACATTCAGTTTTACTTGGCTAAATGGAGCTAATAAAATTTGCCTTTTATGAAATCTACTTCCTTCCACTCCATAACTTCAGAATTCAAAACCCAAATAAAAGCAGCAGGATGATTACAAGTTACTGTCACCTGTTCACTTTTACTCATGGGTAGGGTTTCCCAGTAGTGCAGAAGAACGGCTCCCAGGGGAGAAGAGGTGCTCCCAGGGGCAGCCCTCCATATACTGTCCAATGGCTCCTCTTTTAGTACAAAAATTTTCATGAAATTTGCATTCTACACTATGATAAATCCGAGCTTGGAGCATTATTAAGGAAAATGAATACTTTGTAAGAATCAAACGTCTTGGATTTTTGCTGTTGCTCTTTCCCTAATTGGTGGCTGGTTGAAATAGCTAAGCAGTAGACAGCTTATGAATGTGATAAAGTCTTTCAGAAGCCCAAAATTCTAAGTTACTTTTCACTTAAAAACAAAAAAAAAGTTTCTTCCTCAATGATAAAAACAATATACATTCATATTATAAAGGTGAAAATAGCAGAAAATGAGGTTTCTGTTCTCCATCACACCCAGCCCCACAGCCCAGAGGTAAATTATATATGTCAGTTTCTTTTTTTTAAAGATTTTATTTATTTATTCATGAGAGACAGAGAGCAGAGAGACAGAGAGAGAGAGAGAGAGAGAGAGAGAGAGGCAGGCAGAGACACAGAGGGAGAAGCAGGCTCCATGCAGGGAGCCTGACGTGGGACTCGATCCCGCGTCTCCAGAATCACGCCCTGGGCTCAAGGCAGCACTAAACCACTGAGTCACCTGGGTGCCCAACATGTCAGTTTCTTACATGCATTCTCTCATTTTTTTCCCCAGTTTAACAGTTCTCATTCATTCAAGTAACAATATCCAAATTATTGTTTATACATACTCAAGCAAATACTCAAATAAGACAACAAAGTGCTATCAATTAAATGGTTCACAGTGACAGTTACAAACATAAACACAGTTGCTAAAATCACATAACAGTAGCCTTTTGGGTCACTGTAAGTGTGCATTGTCCAAATGCTTGTAGAATGGTATCAATAAATTTTTTTAGTCACATTGCTAAAACTGGGATTTCACAGTTTATAGTTTCATCCAGTTATGAAGCCTTTAAAACAATATGGCATAGGCAAATTTATCCTCTCTGTCCTTCACTGTTTACAGACTTTGGGTCATGCTTAGAGTCTTCCTCATTTCAAAACAAATCACTAATAACTCCTTCTAGAAACTGCATGACTTCATTACGAAAAAGAATTTTAATATTTGACCAATCTGTAATTGCTTCTGATAAAGGAGATCACGGTCTATCTTATTCTTTTCTTCCCAAATAACTAGCCAAGTAGTATTAAAAGCTATTTATCAAATAATACATCTTCCCCCATTCCTCTGAAATGCCACTTTTATCCTACACTAAATTACTATACGTGTATAAATCTATTTCTGAATTCTCTTCTGTTAATAATCATGCCCCTTTAACCTGTTTTGCCTATCCTTTGACCAATTTTTACATATCCTTAGGGACTATATCATTGTGTAACTTCAAAAAAAAAGAATTTATTTATTTATTCATGAGAGACACGGAGAGAGAGACAGAGACACAGGCAGAGGGAGAAGCAGGCTCCATGCAGGGAGCCTGACGACTCGATCCTGGATCCTGGGATCACACCCTGAGCCAAAGGCAGGCACTCAACTACTGAGCCACACAGGCGTCCATTGTGTAACTTTTTAAATATACAAATATACTGGTAAACATAGCCATTTAGAAATTTTAGTGTGCAAAGATCATGCTCATTTAAGTTCATACACCTTGACGGTTTCCATTTTGTAGTAACTATAGAATATTCCAAAATAAAATTGTATTGCAATTTACTCAAACATTCCATTATTGATAAACATTCAGATTACTCCTTGTGCTGAAGTAAAATCTTCATTTTGATAAAAATCTTCATCAATTTATGAAAAGCTTTGTCTAGTCAAAGGAAGGAGGGAGAGATACAGTCTTCTCAGCAAGAAACTTCTGCTGAATACCTGAAACAATTGTATGATTCGTGTGGCTCCCTCAAGGATATAATAAGTTACTGAAAACTCTAAATGGAATTAGTTATTTGGTATACTTTTTTTTTAAGATTTTATTTATTTATTCATGAAAGAGAGAGACAGAGACAGAGACACAGGCAGAGGGAGCAGGCTCCATGCAGGGAGCCTAACATGGGACTCCATCCCAGGACTCCAGGATCATGCCCTAGGCCAAAGGCAGGCGCTAAACCGCTGAGCCACCCAGAGAATCCATATTTGGTATACTCTTAATAAAGGAACAAAGATTTCTTGTGAATTGATAGACCATTTAACAATTCTCATTCTATCTACAAATAAAACTTGGCACAGGCAATACAATTTCCAAAAATACCAATACTATAAAGAGAGAAGAGGAAATGGTTATTTTTGTGGTTTATTAATCACTTCAGGATGAGCTGCCTGAGTGGTATTTAAATGCATATAGGGGTCCCAGTATTTTATGAGATAAAACATTTTTTATGGCTGTTTCCATTTCTCTTAAAAAAGTCCCTTTAACATTTCTTATTAAGGGTGATTTAGTGCTTATGCACTCCTTTAATTTTGGCTAAGAAACTTTATCTTTCCTTCAATTCTGAATATTCTTGCCAGGTAGGTTATTCTTGGTTTTAGGTTTTTTCCCTTTCAACCCTTTGAGAATATATCATGCTACTCCCTTCTGGCCTGCAAATTTTTCTGCTGAAAAATCACCTGATGGGTCTTATATGGGGTACCACCTTCCCTATGTAACTAGTTGCTTTTCTCTTGCTGCTTTTAAGATTCTCTTTAATTTTTGACATTTTAGTTATGATGTGCCTTGGTGTGGACTTCTTTGAGTGTGTCTGGTCTTGGGCTCTCTGTGATTCCTAGACCTAGGTATCTGTTTCCTTCTCCAGGTTAGTGAAGTTTTCAGCTATTTCTTCAAATAAGTTTTCTGCCTCTTTCTGTCTTCTTCTCTGGGATCCCTATAATGGGAATGTTAGTATGCCTGATATTATACCAAAGCTCCTTAAACCATCCTTATTTTTTTTAATCCCTTTTTCTTTTCAGCTGGGGTGATTTCCACCACCGTGCCTTTCAGATCACCCACTACTGTGTCTTTCAGAACACCAATCTGTTCTGCATCATCTAATCAGTTGATTCCCTCCAGTGTATTTTTCAATCCACTTATTGTATTCAACTCTGATTGGTTCTTTTTTTTACATTTTCTTTCTCTTTGAAGAAGTTCTCACTGGACTCACTCATTCGTCTCCCAAGTCTGGTGAACATCTTTATGACCATTACTTTGAACTATTATTTACCAGGTAAACTGCTTATCTCTGTTTCATTTGGCTCTTTTTCTGAGGTTTTATCTTTCATTTGGAGCATATGCCTTTGCTTGACTTTCTATGTTTGTCTGTATTAGTAGGTCAGCTAGTCTCCTGGTCTTGAAGGAGTGTCCTTAATAGAAAGTTTCCTGTGGGGCCCACAAGTGCAATGCCAACTGGATACCAGGACTAAGTGTTCCGGAGGTATCCCCTGAGTGGGCTATGTATACTGTCCTGTAGTGGCTAGGTTCTGACAGCTGCAGGTGTACTGGTACAAGGGTCTGGCCCCCAGCCCGCTGGCTGCAATGCCCTGCCATGACTACTGTGGTAGCACTAGTGTGCTATAGCCCTCCGCTCACCTGTTGTCAAGGCTTGCTGACTTTTAAGGCCAGACATTATGAGGGCTCATCCTCCTGGGGCAGGCTCCCAGGGTGGGTGGTTGCTCAACATAGAGCTGGACCTCCTTGCTTCTCAGGGAGAATCTCTGTGTTGGTGATAACTCTATTGTGTCTCTGCCCCACTTATACTTCCAGGTGTGGATTTTTCTATGTTTAGTTGTGGAAGTGTTCTGCTAGTCGTCAGGTAAAGTCTTCAGAGAGAGATGTTCCATACCCAGTGGTAGTTTGGATGTCTCCATGGGAGGAGGTCAGCTCAGAATCATCCTGCTCCACCATCATGATCCTATCTTTGTTTAGGTAACGCATTTTTTAAATAGTAAAAGAAATCAATGGGAAACTATAAATCAAGCAGATGTATCAACTGGAGAGGTCAAAGTGATTGCCAATGCCTAGAGAAAAATAGATCTTTTAGCCTCAAGGATTTTGATTATGTAATATAATTATATGTGAATTGTTTAAGTATATGTGCTTTTGTGTGTGTATAAAATTTTAATATTCAAAGAGAAAACATAACATCAAGAATTAATGAATGGTATATGTGGCTCTGGGGTTCAGAATAATCACATTCACATGTGATTTCTTTCCCATGTAGCTGACATGCCATTACAGAAACTGTATGTCTCTGCTAAAAACCCCCAAATTAATCTCTCCTTCCCCAGGAATCCACTCGACTTTATATTGCTAATGACATGACATGTTCCCTTGAATTACAATTATTTGAGTATGTTCTATCTCCCTCACTATAGGCTTCTTTTTCTTCATAATCCAAGACTACTTAGTTTTATATACTCAGAAGCATCCTGGCCCACCAGAATATCGAGATCAGTTAGTTGTGAGGGTTGTTACAAGTAAGCAACCATATGAACCCCTGTGCTAAATAATGGTGATAATTCATTGTTTTTATACACTCAAATGGCTTCAAAATTAACCCCCATCTTGCTCATTCCCCTGAATTCAAATATTCTTCCCTGAACAAAGGGGGGCTGAAAAAACTATGTGTAACCATGCACATTGGTCAAGGTGGCATGAGGTAAGAACCATCAGCCCC